GGCTGTTGTTGTGGTGGTGGCCCCTGCCTTGCCTGGAAGGGCTGCCTCTGCTGAAAACCACCCGCTGGTGCTGGAAAACCAGGTCGTTTAGTGGTGTTGCTGTTCCAAGAAAAGTTGGGATGTTGGCGCCAACCCTCATTGTATGTATTGCTGTATGGGTCAAGGCGCCGAGCATTGGCGATGAAGTCCACCTGTTCTTGGGGAGTAGAAGACTCCCGCATATCCTAACAGTCCTCCACCAGATGATTAGGGCTCTCACACCACTGACATTGAGCTACTGGAGGTGTAGCCAAACCTCGGCCCGGAATAAGACTGTTGGGCTGCTTCAATGTCTGCACTAACTCGGCCACCAACTGCTCGAGCCCGTACCGGGCCTCCATGGCGTGCACACCATGATCCCGGGAATTCCTGCCCCTGCTGCTCTGTCCCTATAAGTGATCTCTGGCAGCCAAGGTACTGATCATCTGGTTCAGTTCAGGTGGAGTCTTAGTCAGAATATCCCCTCCTGGGCATAGAGACTCAATCACCCGCTGGCTTTCCGGAGAGAGAGCACTGTAGAAGTTCCCCACTGTGAATGCATCACTAAAGCCATGATGGGGACACTGCCAGAAAAATCCCATGTACCGCTCCCATGCATCACGAAGTGACTCATCTGGCTCTTGGCGGAAGTGAGTGATCTCCCGCTGGATCTCTGTAGTCTTCGATGCCGGATAGTACCTGTGTACGAACTTATCATCCAGATCGTCCCAAGAAGTGATGGACAAGGGGGGCTGGGTCTCCAACCACCTCTTAGCATTCCCCGTCAGAGAATGGGGGAAGAGGTGAAGGCGGATTGCATCATCAGAGACACCGTTCAGCTTGAACCTGTTCGTTAGCTGTAGGAAACGGGACAGGTGCACCCTTGCCTCCTCATCCTTCAAGCCATGAAACTGGACAGAGGATGTAATGAGTTGAATCCAGCATGGCTTGATCTCGAAGTTGTTCGCTGGAATAGGCGGGTAGATGATGACAGGGCGGATATCAGCAACCCGTGGAGTGTACTAGTACTCCAAGGTGGGACCCGGCGGTGGTGGATGATGATGAACCCCATCTGCCTGGGGTATGGGGTTGTTCCCCAAGATCTGATTCACCGGGGAAACCTGGTGAGGATTCCCCTGGTGTGGATTGTGATCTCCTTCCATCTCGTACTCGTCCTCGAACTCGCTGCTCAAATGGTCGTCTATGCGCTCCTCCGTAGCCAGTCTAGCTCGTTGTTGTCTCCTAAGTTGGCGACAGGTGCGTTCAAGCTCCGGATCCAACGGCAGTAAACCTCCCGACTTCCTACGTGTCATGCACTATCTGCACACAGGCAAGCAGCAAACCCGTGAAGGCACAAGTGGGAAAGAACAAACAGTCAATGCGAAAATGAAAATGCTAAAGTAACAGAAATCACTTTTCTTCAACAACCTAGCCGTCCCCGGCAACGGCGCCAAAAACTTGACTCACTCCTACTGTCACTCTAGAAATTGGCCAAGTGTAACCCCTTCCTAAAGCGTAGTATAGCGGGTTTGGGTTTTAATGTCAACCCGGGTCCTAGATTTGATGACTACTCAGTGAATTCTTATTATCTCGCAGTGAAACTTTAGTGCAAGTCCAAATTAACAAACAAACAAAGCAAGTTAAACGATTTTTTTCAAGTCGAGAGAGGTCACACGGATATGGTTCCCCCTAGACTGCAGTTAAGCTGGATTGCAATTTACCAAGTTTAGTTTTCACGATAGTTATACTGCGGAAAGTTCTTAAACAGTCTGAAGTCTCGACTAAAGGTCTCCAGACCCTCTCAATCTGAGTCTCCAGCGGGCGACTAACCTCCACCTGAGTAAACAGATTGAAGCCCTAACGAACCAAACCTCCACTACCGAAGTAAATTCGGTACAGAATAGTGAATTGGCTCCTCGACTAAAGTCGCCAATCCACTACCTTCAATTAAGGGTGCTCTATCAACCTAGGCAGATATTCTCTTTCTAGGTTAAAGCAGAAACGACAGGAATTTGATCAGGATTCAAGTCATTCAATCATTCAAGCCTCAATCGAATATAATCAAATCACAAAATCTGTACTTGGGTTCATACAATCAAACCTAACATACAAATCTAGGGTTCTCCATACCCAGATGAATGAGAAAACTACTCCATGGAGAGAGAAGCAAAAGCAGATTCAGATGCGGAAATCATACTGTGAAGGATGAGTTTCTGCTCCTGGTCGTCGATCGGCACTTCTCCAAGCTCAAGTCGGGCTCCAATGGTGATGAAGATCAAGCTATGGCACTTGGGAACTCTGGTTCGTCGCTTTCTCTCTAGGAATCGCTCTGTCTCTCTAAAACTCGGAACACTTGATTTTTAGCCTTCTTTTCCTTTAAAAAGTTGCCTGTCGCGATACCCGGTCGAAATACCCGGTCGGGTATTTTGGGTCTCGACCGGGTATAATTGAAACGCGCGTTTTGGGAGTAGAGGAAAATCCCTGGTCTTACCTAAGAATCCCCGACCGGGGATTTTAGCTTCCTGCCCGGGCCCTCTTCTGTTTCTCACGGACGCCCAAAGTATCTGATCCCCGGTCATGGCCAGATAATACCCGACCGGGTATTACTGCTCATGGCCGGGTATTTTAGCTCTCTAGCACACTTCAAACCTCACTTGCTCCTTTCGACGCGAATTTCGTTCCTTCGCCTCGATTCCAACGCCGGGCCCTGAAATATGACATAAACGCACAACTTCGCGTGAAATCGGCTTAAAACACGAGAATCAACCTCTCAAACGGCTCAAGAATAGGGGTAAAAACAGGTGTAATTATTGGTCTATCAATACTTGGCATTTCCTCAATGGTGGCAAGCGATCCGTCACATCAATGCTCCCCTTGGTTGGTAGTTTCACCCCCAAAACAATGTGGATGAAATACTGCCAACTGGTCATACCGTCACGATCCTCGGGGGGATGATCACTCACACACACCGCTTTACCGTCAATGGGCAGATGAGTTAGGATGGCGACGTCCTTGAGTGTTATGGTGCACTCTCCTTCGCGAAAGTTGAAACAATGTGTCTCCTTTCTCCATCTCTCCACCAATGCGGTGATGAGTTGGCGATCGACTTTTATGCCTACAAAATGCCTAATAGACTCCAATCGTGCCCTTTTGAGATAAGGCAAGATGACTGGGTTCCGTGGGAGCACATTGGTCGTACCCCTGTAGTGGAGTATTTGTTGTGCCTCCTAGCAAAAATTTCAACGGTATTTATGATATATTAGTAACAGTATAGTCTTATAACTAAATAAATTAAATTTAATGATTTAATTTCGACCATTATTAAAACCCTAAGTGTTTAATATGAATTAGGAGGTTGGCCCTCAAATTAACCTAGACTAGGAGGCATAGAATGCCCAAGAAACCCATCTCTAGAAGAGCCTCTTAAGTTAAGGGGGTTTCTCTCTAAACTAGGTTATAATGGCAATTAGATTGATAGGCTTTCACACAACACAATCATTTCTGAGTAATACCTCCACATTCACATTAAAACACATCCACACACAAATCATTCAATTCATACAAGCATTCACATTATTTTAGCTAGGCTTTACAAACACCCAAGTGAAATAAGGGACTACTCCATGCTAGGAGAAGGGAAAACACAAGAGAGCGGAAGGAAAACCATCATGAAGAGGCAAGTCTGGCTCCTTGTGCTGAAGAAAACTCAAATCCTTGCTTGGAGATCAAACCCTAGCTTTTCCTCTTCTTTGGTTCGTCACTTTCTCACTCTAAAATCTGAAGAAGGAGAAGTTTTCTCACTCTAGATCTCTCTCCATTCTTCTTCCTTTCAACTCCACACTTAAACCCAGATCGAGCTCAGTTCACGGCCTTCCAGTTCACGGCCATGAACACCTAAACGCGTCTGTGAACTCAGTGTCGTCTCCAAAACGCACCGCTTCAGTCTCCAGGGTTCACGGTTTGCAATCCAAGTTCACGGTCTTAGAGACCGTGAACTGACTGGTTGTCAGTAACCTCTGGAACCCTCCTGGACACCTCGCTGGTCACAGTTTGTGTTTCCATTTCACGGCCTTAGACGCCGTGAACTCCAATGCCAGGTCGTGATTTGCAGCTGATTCCTCCTCTTTGCCGGGTCTTCGATCCCTTTCTTCCAACTTTCGACTCTGGGGATGGTTTCACCTGTTAGGATCTGAAACACACTGAAACACGCAAAACCTAGCGTAAAAACAACCTTTTAGGAGTCAAATGTCACAAACGTCAAGTGGAAGCGGGGGGTAAAAAGTGTCCAATTAAACCCGAATCACCGAACATCTTGATTTTTTTTTCATTTTGCATAACTTTTTAAGGACTACAATTTTTACTAGGAATGAATTTTAAAAAAAGGAATTAGTTTTGGATATACGGGGTTTTGGGAATAACTTACCTTCCCTTTTCACAAATCCACGTACATTCCGAGGTTATGTCTATGATAAAAGTTGCAGTCCTTAATAAGTTATGCGAAATGGAAAAAAAATTCATGACGTTCAGATTTTGGAGCACAAAGTTATGGTTATCCAAAGTTTGACGAAATTGGAAAAAAGCTCGTTCAGTATAGCAAACGACATTTTTTCGGGACGAAGGGGGGACCAAATCGCCTAGGGCGTTTGCGGCTTGCAAGATCTCGAAAAAGTATGCGAAATAAAAAAAAATTCGCTACAATCGGATACCCAAAAAAGGAGATACGTTCGTATGAAGTTTCCACCTAGGTTAGAATTTTTCAAAAAAAAAAAGGACCAAACCACTGGGTGTGGGCAGCAATTTTGGCCCAAACCGGTCTGACCGCATGCGGTCATGAAAACCGCCCTTACCCGTGCGGTTTTCATTGAAAATCGTGCTCTCACCCTGCGGTTTTCGTGTAAACCACTAGTCGGGTGGCAGTTTTCGAGAAATGGTGCTATTTTTGGAATATTTAGGGGTCAGGTGCTATTTTTGGAAAAAAAATTAAAACAGTGTTATTTCTAGAAAAAATCTCTAATCTGGATGGTCGGTACCTTGTTATTGAGAGCTGAAAGTGGTGTCTGAAGCTCATCAGGCCTGCTATTCCCAGAAGATCCAAAGGAAAACGAAGTGTTCTGAGCAGTTTTGGCTGCTTGCTAGTGTTCTTCTGGCACACTAGTCTAATGTTGGGTTGTCTTACATTTGTTATCACCAATAATACTCTGCACAAACTTTGCTGACTTTACAAACAACTCTGACAAACTCGATCTAATCTAAGTTAATCACAGAATCCAAAATAGAATCAACGTCGAAAGACACGACAGCATGTTTTTCAATCTCCCCAACTTCACTACACTGTTTTGCCTCCGTGTTGACAGCCATGACTTGCTGATGGAATGTGCAATCTGACCCTTGGGCAACCTGCAGAATGGGTTCATCAGCATATATTACCAGTGAGCTCAAACGTGAACACAGTGGATAGAGTGCACGAAAAGGGCTGCAAATTGCAATAGAGAACAACTTACATCATACAGAACGTCTCCTATCCGTGCGGTTTTCATTGAAAATCGTGCTCTCACCCTGCGGTTTTCGTGTAAACCACTAGTCGGGTGGCAGTTTTCGAGAAATGGTGCTATTTTTGGAAAAAAAATTAAAACAGTGTTATTTCTGGAAAAAAATCTCTAATCTGGATGGTCGGTACCTTGTTATTGAGAGCTGAAAGTGGTGTCTGAAGCTCATCGGGCCTGCTATTCCCAGAAGATCCAAAGGAAAACGAAGTGTTCTGAGCAGTTTTGGCTGCTTGCTAGTGTTCTTCTGGCACACTAGTCTAATGTTGGGCTGTCTTACATTTGTTATCACCAATAATACTCTGCACAAACTTTGCTGACTTTACAAACAACTCTGACAAACTCGATCTAATCTAAGTTAATCACAGAATCCAAAATAGAATCAACGTCGAAAGACACGACAGCATGTTTTTCAATCTCCCCAACTTCACTACACTGTTTTGCCTCCGTGTTGACAGCCATGACTTGCTGATGGAATGTGCAATCTGACCCTTGGGCAACCTGCAGAATGGGTTCATCAGCATATATTACCAGTGAGCTCAAACGTGAACACAGTGGATAGAGTGCACGAAAAGGGCTGCAAATTGCAATAGAGAACAACTTACATCATACAGAACGTCTCCTATCTTCAACTTGACAGCTCCACTCTTGTAGACCACCATTTTGCCCATGTATCCCTCAGGCAGCTGCGATAGACAGTTGGAGCACTGTGATTGGATCGAGCTGCTGCTGCTTCCAACCTTTTCTTTCCCTTTCGCGCTGATAATTGACCGGTTAATGTAGGGCATCTTGGGAGGGAACTTGAAGAGAAGCATCTTTGCTTCATCAGATTTCTCCTGTCATCATCATTTCCACAGCATATGAATCCACAAATCTGACCAAAAACACTACTTCGATCGGCAATGATAGTCACATTCATATCAGCCTTACCAACAAACCAAGTTCTGAAGCATGTTTGATGAAGTTCTCATCATACTCCGAGTTCATTGCATCCTTCCCAAACTCTTCCTCGTTCAGAACATCTGGCAACACAGTAGCAGCAAAACTAACTAAAGCTGTAGCAGAAACAGATCGAGTCCGGAACTTCTTTGACAAATAATAATCAAACATGTATATATACCAGGGTCACCAGAGAAAGGCTGCCTCAGGGGAAGGGTAATAGGATAGTAACTCTCATAGTCCTGCATTAGCAGCAACTTCAGCAAGGTCTGAATTTTTCATAAAAAGAGACCAAAACACAGAACAAGAAACATTGAATTTTCCTTCTTACAAATGGCTCTTTATATTTCTTCCTGGTTCGTTGCCGATTAAGATCAATAGCACCGTGACCTGCTCCTTCATCCTTACCATCGATTTGCATAGCATCAGGATCCGAATCCCACCCCGCTGCTGATGCCTTGACATGGCTAGCCTCCGCCTTAGGGTAACCAAATTTCCTAATCGATAGCGACGGTGAGGCTCCAGAACCAAATGCCACTTCAACTGGAGCAGCTGCATATATAATAGCAACACACGATCATACTAGACCACAGAAATCTCCTGCAGAAGTCGGAACATTTAGCTAAAAGATGAGAACTTTAACTACCTTTCTTGTCAGCTCTAGTAGCCTGTCTTTTGAGATTCTCCTGCAACAATGTAAAAACCATAACTTGAGAGTGGATCTAGTCAGGGTAGGGATTCACTGGTTCTTCTACTTGGTAGTCGCAATTTGGACCAAATATCATGATCTTTTGGCTAAAGATTGAAACTTTACTATAATTTGCTTTCATTCATCGTATTCCGTGTTTGGCAGCAAACGAGTAGTTTACTAATATCCCTACTAATGAATTGGTATTTGGTAGCATCAGCGGTCAGCCATTCAGCCTCTTCTAGTAAAGATTAAGGATGAAACAAACGCGGTTTTAAGTCCAGCCGAATGTCAACAGAAATTAACAGCCAAAGATTATGAGATTTCACAGACTGAGAAAGGACTTGGGATTTGGTAGACGGCTTACGTTGAATCTGGTCATCAGCTTCTGAGCTTTCGCAGCTTCGTCTTCGTTGCTGCCATCGTCGCTTGTCTTGCTGCATTTCGGCAAAAGAAAAAAAGGACATCGGAAAATGGAAAATCAGACATTTGAACACTGGAAATTCAGATTACCTGTAGTGAGGAGGGAAGGAAGAAAAGAAGTGGGGATTACGGTTTGGGGGCGGCGAGGCGGGGCTTCCTCTGGGAAGCGGACTTGGGGGCGAACTTCAGCTGCCGGAGGAAATGGAAGTGATAGAGTAAGAAATTTCAGATCTAAGAAACCCCTTCTTGATAAACTCGAGGAGTTTCTTTCCGGTGGGTATTGAGAAATTTGATGGCAGAGTTGGCGGTAGCTTACCTTCCTGCGATTGGCCGGAGGGTCGTCGTGATCCATGGCTAGCCAAAATTCAGTCGGAAGACGAAAGAGACGATCGACGGCGGGGGAAAAATGGCAAAAACTGGAACGGCTGCAATCGAACTCGCGTCCTCTCCAGAGAGGGAAACAGTTTACGCCATCGGAGCTATATTAGCCACTTTGTCTAAACCTAGCCCGTTAATTTACTTATTATCAATGCAACATACCAAACAATTTTTTTTAATCGCCATCAGTATATTTTTGGGTAGAAACTAGAAAGACTAGCGAGACCCCTAGTGTATAATATTAACAAGACAGGATAATCATATAATTATGTTTCACACCAACTCCGACAGTACTTCAGCTATAATAACAACTAAAATTGTTTGCCGCGCTTTGCTGCGGTTAGGAGTCTAAACTTCAGCCCGTCGATTCCGCTTATAGGTAGTTGGATTAAAAAATAATTATCTTGTGATTTATTTGTCGTTAATTTTGTCTCTTTTCTAATACTTAATTTTGTAAGAAATTTGTTAAAATATAATTAAAAATATTTACTTCCATAATTTAAATATACATACAAAAATTAGACCTATTTGTAGAGTTTCAAAAGTTTAGGTACCAAAATGTAATACACAAAATATTAGGTACTAAAATATCATGTGTCATCAATATTTGAGAACTTATATGCCAAATAAATAAATTTAGGTTATAAATCTAAAGATCTATTGAGTTTAGGTACATAACTAAAATTTGCATAGTTGAGACTTAATTTCTTTTATGCTGATGTATTTAAGATGATAATTATTTACTTTTCTATAGGAAAATGAAAACTATTTATTTGATATGTGTAGATACTTAACCAAGCATTCCATGTATAATTGTTGAAAATTATAGCCTGGGTGAAAAAGAAAAACTCTAGAGCGAAGCAAAAGGAATACAAACTGGAACTCGCTTAAAATTTCACGCCTTCAAATCCCATAGTAGAAAATGATGACTTTCTAATAAGTAATGACTTACTAATTAGGGTTAAACGAAGACGGAAAATAAAGAAATAAAGAAAGGGTTATGGAAGGCAAGTGAAAAATGAAACGAAGAGAAAGTAGATGATGTAAAGGTTTTGATCAATTATTTTGGTTGGTCGTTAATACAACAGTTAACCCTTTTCACCGTTAATGTTGCATAACAAATTACAACTTAGTCACTTTTTATATTCTACATTTTGATACCCAAATTTAATTTTAATGTAAAATCATTGAACAATTATGTTTTGGTAACCAAATTTTATGAGATTTCCGTACCTACAATTTTTAAAATTTACATATTGGTCCATTGTTTAGATTTCACTTACATATTGGTCCAATGTTTAGATTTCACTTGAATTCATGAATCCAATCCACCAATCCTTTTGAACAAATCCATGAATCCAATCCACCATAACATAAAAGTATAAATTTAGTTTGTACCATACAATATGTTGTATCGCTCAACTGTACGAGATGATTTGACCATTTTATATTTGCTCATTACGTGAAATATTAAATAAATGATAAAAGAGAGACAACTCTAAAATATTGCAAGAGCGAATTTGTAAACTCATTTAGTACATTTACGGGGTACTTGGCTAGTCGGAGATGCAGCCCTTGGCCCTTTCACTTGCCTTCCATCGTCTACTTGGCTAGTCGGAGATGCAGCCCTTGGCGTGGATCCGGTTGGGAGAGCTTGAAGACAGTGGTATTCTAACTCTCTGTATCTTCTGCCGACCGTCCGATTTTTCTGTTTCCCTTGGCGTGGCGGTGGGTTGCAGGCGGTGGTCGGCTCGGGGTGTGCTGGCCGAAGGTGTTTTCCTCCTCCTCTCGTCTTCTGGGTTGGTTGAGGTCCTGGCCGCGATGTGCTCTTCGATGGGTCGGTGGCGCGTCGGTGCGGTTGGGGTTCTCGGCCGCGGCGGTGGAGGTTGACAGAGAGGGCGCTGACGGCTATTGTTTGGTTGGTTCGCTTGTACCATTCCTTTTGTGGGCTTAGCCCAGTCGTATTAATGAACATCATCTTTCAAAAAAAAAACTTTATATTTGTTAAATTGTAGGTACGGAAATCTCATAATATTTATATACCAAAACATAATTGTTCAATGATTTTACATTAAAATTAAATTTGGGGGTATCAAAATGTGAAATGTATAAAAGTAGCAATTTTTTACGCAACAGTAACTCTACTTCGCTCTTGAAATATTTTAGAGTTATCTCTCTTTTATCTTTTATTTAATGTTTCACGTAATGAGCAAATATAAAATGGTCGAATCATCTCGTACAATTGAGTGATACAACATCTTGTATGGTACAAACTAAATGTATACTTTTATGTTATGGTGGATTGGATTCGTGGATTGGTTCAAAAGGATTGGTGGATTGGATTCACGAATTCAAGTGAAATCTAAACATTAAACCAATATGTAAGTGAAATCTAAACATTTGACCAATATGTAAATTTTAAAAATTGTAGGTACGAAAATCTCATAAAATTTAGATACCAAAACATAATTGTTCAATGATTTTACATTAAAATTAAATTTGAGGTATCAAAATGCAAAAAGTGACTAAGTTGTAATTTGTTATGCAACATAAACTCTATTTCAACTTTAAATTTTAAAAATTGTAGGTAAGGAAATCTCATAAAATTTTTATACCAAACATAATTGTTCAATGATTTTACATTAAAAATTAAATTTGGGAATCAAAATGTAAAATGTAAAAAGTGACTAAGTTGTAATTTGTTATGCAACATTAACTCTATTTCAAATTTAAATTTTAAAAATTGTAGGTACGGAAATCTCATAAAATTTTATACCAAACATAATTGTTCAATGATTTTACATTAAAATTAAATTTGGGGTATCAAAATGTAAATTGTATAAAGTGACTAAAGTAGCAAATTTTTACGCAACAGTAACTCTATTTCAAATTTATATATAGTAAATAGGAAAAGTCATGGTCGCTTTCATACCATCATACAACAATCAATGTTTAAGGTTGGGATCACACAAAAGGAAGAGTATGACCCTTGGATGCCAAAAAATCAGCAACAAAGTTCTTTTCACTATACACATGACTAACAACTCAATCACGGTCAAGGAGGTTTCTAATTTTTTCCGCAAGCAGGCCATGTGAGTGGTTGTTTAGTGGGGTCCCATTTACAAAAAATCTTATAACATTGTATTCAATTATCAAGTAAATTTTCTTAAAAATATTTAGTCAAGTAGTCATTCATCAAACCATTAGTTATTAGATTTGTACCTTATATTTTGTGTAACTCATAATTGAAAAGTGACATTTCAATAACTAGCTAAAATAAATAGTTCCAAGCAAAATCTAATACACACAAACATTTTATAAACACACATTTGATGACAAAGAAATTGTATATTAATAGGAAAATTTTGTTGAACTAAGAGCTTTTTAGATATAGCTAAAGGTTTTTGTACACATATTTAGTAGAATTAGAAATTTTTAGAATATTGAATATAAAATTGGGGATTTCAATGAAATATGACCAATATAGTCTAATTTATTTGTGTGTTTTATAAAACTAGGACAATTGAATTTCATACGAATGTGATCCTAAATTCTAAATCTATCCAAATTAAACAAATATATATATATATATATATATATATATGGTTCAGGCTAGCGTACGCTAACCTAGCGTACGCCCCATTGAGTTTTGCTATATAGATCATGAATTAATCGGAGTTTGGGGCATGATATTATACCCTAACCTCTAATGGGTAAACCCCAGTCCCTAATTTTCTAATCCAAACCATGAGGTTCGTTTAATCTTAAAATGAAAACCAATGAAAATTTCAACGAATCAGAATCGTTGATTTTCATTTTTAAGATTAAACGAATCTCGTGCTTTGGGCAAGTGAATTGGGTACTGGGATTCACCCATTAGGGGTTAGGGTATAGTATCATGTGCCAAACTCCGATTAGTTCTTTGTCTAAATAGCAAAACTCAATGGGGCGTACGGTAGGCTAGCGTACGCCCGGGCGTACCTTAGTCTACCGTACCTCCTTCCACCTCCCTCCGCCACTGTATCCGGCCAATAGAGATGGCAACAAAATCTGAACCGAAGGGTACACTACCCTATCCAACCCGGTCAATGCGAGTAAAATCCGTGTTGACGGGTTTTGGGTCGAGTTTAGGTTTCAACCCGTTATACTATTCACTGGTTGGGTTGGGTTCGGATTTAGGGATATCCAACCCATGGATACCCGCCCACATCCATAAACCAATTTTCCCAAGCCATAACCTACAAGTTTTGGATGTTATCTTCATTAAGCAACTAATATTTCTTATGATTGTGAAAACACGTCTAATTTGTCTTTCTAATTTTCTATAACGAAGTTGATAAATTAATTGATATTATGGAGTGGAGAGTGAAGCTAAGATGACAATTTCAAGTTCTCAAGGAGTAAGAAGCTTTTAATTAATCTTTTTTATGGATGTTTATCTTTAATGTCAAACAATTTGTATGGATACTTTGTGGTTTGCTTGTATGTTCTAGATTAGTATTTTTTGTATAGATAATTTGTATGGGTAGATCGATATCATACTTTTTTACCAGAAGTTGTTATTGAGCATTTTTTTTACCACAGAACCCATGGGTATCCATAAGCCCGCGGATACCCAGCGGGTTGGGTTTGAGTTTCTCAAACCCATTGGGTTTTACACTGGATTTTTTTTACGGATGTAACCATGGATTTGGGTTTGGCAAAACCCGACCCAATCCATTGCCATCCCTACCTGCCAGTTCTTCATGATGTCGATCGCAGTAGTGGAGTCGAGGTTGAGCTTGATCTTCCTGAAACCAAGTTGCCATGCTCTTTCAAGGCTAACAGCAGCTCCCTTAAGTTCAGCACTAATAATGGAGCAAGCCCGTAAATTGCAAGCAAACTCATCTAAGCAACGCCCAACAAAATCCCCGATCACGCCACCTGCAACAACTATGTGGGTAGCTCCCTTCACCGAGTCATCTTCTTGTACTTGAATCCAGCCTTCCCTTGGTGGAGTATAGCCAAGGTCCTTCTCCGTTTGAACCAAGTTGCTCACCAAAAGGCTCATGTTAGCATTGTCTTTTGCTTGTCGATGAATGTTAAGCCAAGCATTGGCTTTGTAAATCAACCCTTCTTCAGAGTACTTCTTTCCA